GTGACAGATCTGGATTAGGGGGCAAAGTGTAAAGGTCTGATGTCAGAGCATGAAACGAATTAGAGCTTATTACGTTCAAATGCAGCACTAAATCTCTGGAACAGCAACCATCTATGCCAAAACACACTGTAAACAGTCGGAGCTGCAACACACAGATGCTTGAGTACAGCACAGCACATTGCAATAAAATGACAAAACTTGATGCCGTTCTTACAGAAAGTATAAATAAACTGAAACGCTGAAATAAGAATACATGCAAATTTGTTTGTATTTATGTACAAAGTATATTTGTATGTGAGGTCCTATTGTTGCTGTCTTGACCTGACATGAGAGGAACAGATGGCAGGCAGCGGTGGTTCGTGTCTGTTTTCCAGGGTCGCTGAGCAGCCAACACACCACCTCGACAATAGCTAAACCAAATCTCAACTCCCTCAAAGGTCTCCTCTGCACTCATTACTAGCAACTTTCAATGACTGCAGTGATAAACATCTCCAAACTATGTTATATTGTCACTCACATTTGTTTTGCAAACACTCACAAGGCAGCTGGTATTGTGACAAAAGAAACATGATGACTCTTTTTCCTACTTCTTCCACCGTTAGTCACACATTTGGATAGTGGCAGTGAACCAAATCGTCGCCTGTGTTGCTACGGGTGACTGGAGAACTGACTTTTGGGTTCCTGAGGCAAACAAGCACATGACAGATTAGTGTGTGGGCCTCCTCCAGGCTTCCACCCCGTGACCCTTAGGAGCCCCTTCGTTTACCCCCTCCCTGTTCATGCTCTTATATCCACTCCCTGCCTCTCCTTTGTCTCCACGCTCTCATCCAAACTTAAAACAACCTAAGAAGGTGGAAAAGCAAAACTGATTCTCAATCATGGAGGCACAAGTTGTTTAAAATTAGCTGGCCTTAAAAAGTAAAATAATTTTTTAAAAGACAATTTAATGAAATTGCTTACATGCTGTTATGTAGGTGCCCTCAAAAAGGTAAAGAAAGAATTATGATGGTTCAGTATAAAAGGGACTGAGTACTTCAAACTATTTGCAGATGTGTGTTTCCACTATTTGAAGGCAGCTTGTAGTGGAACAACACACAGGGATTAGAGGACAAGAGGAGCTTAAACAAAACTGGGGATACCGCAGGCCTGACAGTTTAGTCTACACAAACAAAGTGCCCTTTCCTTTTTGTGGGATGAACTTGTACACTTGTTTATCGTATGTAACAAACATCGGTTGCCAGGGTTCGGTCTTGCCTGTGCCCATGTCTTCTGAATGACCCTCGCTGGCTCTTTTTATGTGCATCTATAAAGGGTGGCAGAGAGAGCAGCTCCCACAGGAGGGCTCGACCTGACGATGACACCCTGTTGTCATGGAGACTAATGCTATGTTCGGCTTGGGTTGGGAGTGTGTGGGTTGGGGGGGCTGGAGCACTGTCACTGGTGTATCTAATGATGTTTGCAGCACAATGCTCTCAGCTCATCAAAGGTTCTCACTTTTTGCGATATTAGCATTGTTGTTGCAACACTTGCGCTCTGAAGTTCTTGTTCAAGTGTTTGTAAAAGGTGTGCAAAAACATAAAAAAAGTTTTTTACTGCCCAACTTTAGTAGAAACACAGTTCAAAAGTCAGCTTGAGTGTTACAGACCAATGGTCTGTTGTACTGATAACTATAAAATGTAATCTAATCACACCTAAACATTTCACTTCTGTGCATTTAGTTCTACTTCACAGTCCAAAGACTCTCTAAATCACCAAAGGATATATCACTTCCCTTTCAAGAAACCCAGGGGACCAATACACCTGGCTTAGCAGCTTAACAGCATTTCCCAAAACACCCGGGCCAAAGGGTGGCCCAGCACAGAACCTGAGATGCTTGATACTTAAAAGGGCTACCTCCTTACATCTCTGACTGACCACTCTCTCACTATCGCGTGACCCTTCCCTCCCTCCTTTACAGTTCACACAAAAACTTTTAACTAGTGACGCTTGCTCCTGAGGTCCCTTATTTATTTTCATAGGTGTTTGAGGGTTTACATTAGTCAAAAGACAAGGCCAGGGCTCATATTGGTTTCTTTGCATCTGAGTGCTTCCTGTTTTCATTGCAAGGCCGACCCTTGTCTTTACAGGGGTGAGCGAGGGCTAGAAAGGGTGAAAGGGAAGGAAAGGCCAAGGGCACCAAGGGGCTAATTGTAAAGTTAAAGTTAGTGTCTTCCAAACATAAAAGAGCAGGGTTTTTTTTAACAGGCATTAGAAAAAAAATGTTTTCCTCATTTTCTCATGAATACTTATCCCTTCAGATTCTTATTATCTAAAAATCAAGCACCCTCTTCTGCACCGTAGTTCTTTCTTTTTGAAGCGAAGCAGAACATTTTACCCCTAACAGTGAAGTTTACCTTTCTGATAACATAATCTCCCTGTAGTATTGAAAAGCTTATACCAACAGTCTGGGATTTCCCTTCCCCTAATGTGGCTGGAAGACATCCAGAAACACATGGAGAGAGAAAGGGAGAGGGCTTGGCATTAGTGAGAAAAAAAAAAAAAAGCTGGAGGTAGGATAGAGGGGAGTGGGGAGACAGTCTGACCCTTTTCTGCCAGCCAACATCAGCTGATCTGTCCAATGTTGTCCAATTACATGTGGGACATTTCAGGCTGTCAGGTCACATGGTCTCCTGAACATGGGCATATGGCCTCATAATAAACGGGGTTATAATAGCTTATCTTCTTCATGTTTTGTGAGATCAATATGTCCAAGGAGTGCACTTTCCTCTCAGTTGGAATGCTGCTAGAGGTGAATATGAGTTGAATTTTGTTTTCTTCCTGTATGTGAAGAAAACAACCGTGTGATTTCTCCCGAGAGAGTGTGAGGTCAGAGTGAAGCCTCAGAGAGGAGGGGAGAGGGAGAGGGCAATTTTGTTATAGTGAATCTAAAAGCCAACAGTTGTTACTATTGGCCTGTGTTGTTTTTCTGTGTGTGAAGGGGGGGTCCTGTCCTTTTGAGCTTTTCAGAAGATATGACAATGGCTGGATGTTGAGAACATGTGTAGGGAGACCCCTGCGGCTCATGGAAGAGGAGCTCCATGCTGGCCCCCTCAGTTTGAGAAAATACAAGGCCGTTCCTTTCACTCCTCACCCCTCAGTTAATGAATGCGTGAATGGCAGAATGCCGCTATAGGCCATTCAGGGGCCAAAGTCCCCAAGAATTCACCCTTGGACAAATGCATCCAGCTATGGCAAATACATTTGCTTAACAAATTAAAAGAAAGGAGAATGGTTAATGGGTGTGTGCGTGTGTGTGTCTAAGAGTTTATGGGTGGGAGAGCTGGATGGTGAGAAGAGAAGGGGGATAATTCAATTAGTCTTCTTCCTCAGCAGAGAAACGAAGGCAGGTTAAAAGGGAGGGATTATTATTTGTACAAGACTGACCAAGGCTTTGCACAAAAGAAACAAATAAAGATTGGAGAACATCTACAAGCAGGGGATGTGATAAAGGAAAGAGGAACAGAAAGAGGCGCTTTGAAAGCTTTGCTTGATCTGAATTAAACCAGTCTCTGAAAGATGTGTTCATTTGAACTCTTCCCTCTTCATTTCTAGCCTCTCTTAATTTGAAACCCATTTCTAAAGCATTCTGACAACTATGTCAAAGGATTTGTGTAGAAGGGAATATTGAAACTGTGTGAGGATTTCATTAAGAAAAATGCAACACTTTGACACATAAAATAAATTTTACCTTGGCAAAGCATTTAGATTATAATCTCAGAGGGAATTCCAACCAGCATTTTCTTTGCTCAGGGGAAGAAAACGATCATAGTGAAAAGCGGGATTCTAAATAAAAAAAAATCCAAAAGTTTTGTTTTCTACGTGGCTTGAACATGAAGCCGGCGCTCTTTGGTAAGAGGACTCCAGCCACGGAGCGACGGAGCTGTGAACAGCTGTGAAGTCATTTTGATAATGATGAGAATAATAAGCGTGCAGACTGGCGTGGTGGAGCTGCTAAGGCCTGCGAGGCTCAGGGCTTTGCTGTTGCAGCTTCACTGCTCCTGAATAGATAAAAGTGATTAAAGCACTCCTGATTATCCCTGACCAATATGTAATGGATTTACAGCCCTTTCAATTAGGCTGTGTTTGCTGGCCGCTTATTACTTGGGCTTTTGGTTAGGTAATCAGGGTAGAGGGGGCTTTGAGCTGAGAGTGGGCACTTTGGTATTGGTAGGGGGGCTATATAGTGCAAAAGGGGTGCCTGACCCTTTTAAATGTGGGGTTGATGTTAAAGACCTCAGCTCCATACCAACTCTATTCAACTTTGTCTGCTTTTTTTACTTTGCTCATCCCCCCATGCCGTCCCATCTCCTCCAGCACAGAGTCACAAACTCAGGCAGCTTTGTGCACCCCGATGTCACCACCTCACACTGAAATCTGACCTTGGTAGCAAAATCAATACAGTCAGATGTTCTGTTAATATCATGACATTAGCGAGGGTGAGGGTCCATGTCGACCACCCTCGTTTACAAAGACACAAGCAGAAGAATTGACTCAACCATATTTTCCTAACTGTGTTTGAACATGTATAGTAATTAACTCTAAATCATGTTGACTGTGTGTGTTTTGTGTAAATAAAGCATCAAAGTTATCAACTGAAGTGTTTGGAAGACAAATAAGCATCAAGTCCATCAGATTAAAAAAATCAAACCAATCAAGAAAGTACATTTTGAGTAAATTCACAAAATAAATTCTGGACTTTGCATTACAGAAGTAGCCATTTTCTACACCCTCATTCTCTAAACCACTCTGTCTCTTTATCGGTTGAGAAACTTTCTTCTTGAGCCAAGTAAACAGTCCAGACTGATTAGATTGACCTGGTCATTGTATCTCTAAAGGCAGGTGAGCATCACTCTTCACTCACCTGCCCCAGTATGTGACAAGTGTGTATGTGCTTCTGTATGTTGTTTCTTTAGAGTCTCGTGTGCATCTCGTGTGCATCCAACACATTTGGCTTTGCTTACCGTGAGGTGCTGAAAAAGCCACGCCCTCATGATGTTTGTGGCCACCTTGGGGAAAATGCCACGCTTTTTCTGCCTCTTCTTATCCTTGTCTGGGTCATCGTCATCCCCTGTGCCAGGCGACGCCACGCTGTTGTCTAAGCCATCTCCTGGACGGAAACCAAAGCCAGCGTTAAATAACACCACGGACCACACCGTAGGCTCAAAGCTCGTTCATCCAGTCTGAGCTGAGTGTTAAGAAGGTTTTGAGGTTTATGAAAGATGAATAAAATGGACAAATACCACAGATATTGAAAAGTGGTGCACTAAGGCCAAACGATTTGATGCAGCGAGGACGATGAGTTAGGAGGGATTTAGATAGCCTTAGACAAAGGCCTGCACAGAGATAGAGGGGTTAACAGAGAGGCCAAAAGGAGCTGTTCTTTACTCCAGAGCATGAAAGAGGGGAATAAGGGTTATAATGTTATGGTTTGCAACTTAAACACTGTGTTTCTAATTCTTTTTCTATATAGGAGGAGCAGGAAAGAAAAACAAATTGGACAAGGAGTCTTCAAATGCAGCAGAGACTAGGACTCATGTCATTAATTCAATTAAATTTGCATGCTTGACGTAACATAAAGCATTTTATTCCCGCCCTTTGAAGAGAGCCAAAGGGGACAGAAAAAGGAAAAGACGATATGAGCAGATTCATGAATTCATGAACGTTCAGTTGAGTGTTTGTGTAATTTAAGGAGGTTCATTGTTGCAATTCAATGAGCAGAGTGAACTTGTCGTATGCATCCCCCATCCTAACCCAAACTTACAATCTCCCCCTTTCCCACCCCCTTTGCCTTGGCATAAGATTAGCATGAGAGGCCAGCGGCGACTTTGCCTACATTAATGTCCATCACTGTTTGATTTCTTGATGAAAACATGAACATATTCCTCCTTCAAGCTGAAGTTTCCATCTTTGTCCCAAGCCTTTTTTCTTGTTCTTCTTCCCTGGCATTAATTGTGCATTAGCAAAAATGATTTACTTTTAACAGTCATGGTTATTTTTTCTTGCCCCCGGGCTCAAATGCCTTGAAAGCCTTCCTTGAGGGCATCTAAATTATGTATCTGAAAAACTCCTCCACTAAGGAAGAGAAGGACCCTGACATTCTCAAAAGTCAGACGCACATGTCTTCCTGTTTTTGTGGAGGCATCAATCACAGCCACCTATGCACGCATTAATCTCACATAAATATTTTAACTAATAACATTAAAAAGGGGGAAAGAAAAGGGATCCGACTGGTGGCGTAATCAAATGCAAAATAAATGAAGAATACAAAGCCAACAGAGACCCACATTTCTAACTTTTTTTTTTTTTGGTTCTTTTTATATTTCTCAACTTCATTTTTTAAATTATTTCCCTTCTCCGTCTTTCTTTGCTGTCTGTGCAGTGTTTTCCTTCCACATCATTAGTGCAGAGCCACACAAAAGAGGAAAACAAAGAAGTGCCGACTTTGCGCTCTCTGTGTGAAGTTAAAAAAGCAACGGCCCTCCTGAAGGACATATGGGAATGGGGACACGGACAAGGGGTGTTGTAATTGTAGAATGGGCATTCATTAGCTGCAAATGCCATAAATCCCAGGCTAAGTACGAATCCTTGTTCAGGAAAGCCTAAAACAATAAACTTTGGTTCGTACCCTGACTGTGAGGGGCTTCCTGAGAAATGCGACCCAGACGGAAGCTAAGTCTAACTCCCCCAGTTTGCTTCAAAACCTCAACAAAAACACAACTAGTGAGCTGTGAATTTTAACCACCCCGCCTTTGTTTCTTTGCTTTTGAGTTTCACTGAATACTGTTTATGCACACTTCAGTGTTTGTTTGGATGCCGCTAGGTTTTGTGTTGATTTTTGAGCTAGTCTCCAAATCCCTCTCCCGCTGTGAGCAGTCAGGCTCATCCAATAGAACCGTGCAGTGGCCAAAAAGCTGGCAGATTAATTTTATTGACGTTTCCATTTTCACTGCAATGTGATAGCCTTCCCCCTGGCCAGGGCCAATGCGACCCGTGCGTATTTACAGACTGACCTGTCACTTCATTACCCAGCATGCTTGCTGCCTCCTGCCCTAGCCCGCAAGGATGAAACCAGACTCCACTGCTGTTCAGCTCCTCTCAGTCTTCCATGCACATGGATATTGATGTGTACCCACAGATCAGACTTAGTTTTCAAGCAGTAATTCCACGTACAGGTATATTAGCTGTTAGCAGACACACCCGTGTTCTCACAAAGAGAGTGTGGACTTAAAAAAAAGGAAGGAAGAAATAATGAAAGAAAGAAGAAAGAGATGCAAGCAGGGCAATGAAGAAAGAGTAGACATAGAATAAGGAAGATCCAACTTGCTCAACCTCATTACATCTGAAGGAGAGCTGGTGCTTTGCATCCACCCCCACTCCTTTCTTATGAGCCTGAGAAGTAACGCTGCAGGGCAAATTGTCCCAAACGCTAATGGCTTCTGACTGTTCCCTGGCAACTCTGCCATTCTAACCTGCGTGGATGTGCACTCTGGAAAAAAAATTGGGTAAGGGGAAAAAGTGCAGGGCAGAGCAGAGGGAAGCGTCCCATCATCTGGCCATGTGACACAGATGGGGGTTGGCTATTAGGAGGCAGTCGAAAGGCCTAAGGGAGCCGAGGTGCTGGAGTGTAGCCCCAGGCACTTTTGGAAAAGCAGCGCCCTTGGAGATAAAAAAAAGACAGCAGCACACCCTCACCCACCCACTCTACCCTCTCTTTCTTTCTTCCCTAAACCTTTTCTCCTCTCCCCTTCCCTCTGCCTCCCTCTCTCACTCCATCAGATCTTAACTTAAAGTGCTTGCAATAAAACTTTTGCCACATATTTTCATATGCACAGCAAATCAGAGGAAATGTAATCAGGCAATAAGACTATGACCGGACCCAATGAGGATAAGAGAGAGTGAATGAGCACACTAACAAACAAACAAGCTCAAGTCCAAACGCACATTACGCTCACATGCATCGCCTTTCTCATCACCAGTGGGTGGTTATTAAAAATGCATTCAGATATATCTCCTTGTGAGTAAATTGGTCTCAGGGCTGAGCTCATTATCGGGCTGAGAAAGGACTGTAAACACATTGCAACTGTGCTTATCTAATGTTGGCACATTGCAGGCCACTTCAAGAGTCCTTGTAGGAAAAAAAACAACTTGCAGAGTACAAAGTGTCATACACTTTCTGCTAGGAGTAAAGAGGACTTTAGGGAAAGTTGAACAACACCTGAGCCAATACTTGAAGTGCAAGAGATGCCCTCCTGCTGAGGAAGCCACTATGGTCCAGTCAGACTCAGAAATGTTATGGATTTAACCACAAGCAATAAATATTGCAGCTACATCAAAAGTAGCCAAACCTACGTTCCTCAAGTTCAATCTTTTTATCAGAAAAAGTTTTTTTTTAAGCTTCTAGACAAATTCAACATTTTTGGTGTGTACTCTTGAGGCTGTGCAGTGATTTTGCGTCAGGAGGCCCAAGCGTTTGTTTCAGGGTAATGAAGCAAGAGTGTATAAGCAGTGGCTTATGAAAGCCACGGTTAAAGTGACTAATTACAACAGACCCCCCATGCCCCCTGTCAGCCCAAACTAGTCAGGCATGTTCAACCAAGCTCACCCAAATAAGAAAAGAAGAAAACTCGAGGGGAGTTAGATTAAAAAAGAAATAAAGAGAGAGCAGAGGCTAAGAGGGTTGTTGTTGCAGGAGCGTCTTTGGATTCTCCACCTCGGCACAGCATTCTGACCAGAACCCTCCACCTCTCCCTCCTATTACACCACCTTTATCCTTGCAGGCTTGGCAGCAGAGAAAGAGGAGAAAAGAAGATGGGGGGATTTAGAGCCTCCCTTTCCCCTCTTTTTCTCCTCAACTTTTGAGCCAACATAAGCGGCGTTTAGCACATTCAGTCCCCCCAAATGGCAGCGAATGAGAGAAGCAGTGGGGGCTCTTCTTTTGTCTGTCTGGTTACCCCTTTTATTTACTCTGGATTTACGGAGGGTTCTTTGCCGACTCTGGGACCACATGCTTTTGACACATGCACAATCTCCTTCACATACACACATACACAAATGCGAAGAGGTTCTATTCACACAAGTGGAACAGCTAGCCCTCTGTTGCTCCGTGCCGGCTGGGGATTACCGACCTTCTTGCTATAACCACATGCTAGCAATATGCTTCGTACTCATGTAACATAGACAAGTGCCAACAAGTAAAGCATAATCTCCTTAATGAAAAAACACTTATGCTGCCATCTGATTTTTAGATTTAAGTAAGCCATCAGAGTGCTTTTGTTTCTGTGTGAACGTGCCATATGGTGCACTGCACTCATTCAGATCCATACAGTTGATGAGGGCTCTATAAAGGAACAGTTTTAGTGTGGCTGCTCCTCTGCAACCAGCATTTTACGCTGATTATTTCCTGATCTGTGCTTAAACAAGCTGCAGCCCCCTTGCACTGGACCATAAAACAACAGCTTAGTAAACAGCAAGCATGCTGACAAATTGGTGGCGCTCAGACCGGAGTCATTAACAGCCTTAAAACCTGTCAGAGCAATTACAACAAACTCTCCTTCAGCAAGTCTCCCTGCCAAAGTCAGATGGCACTTTTCGCCTCTTGTCTACCGCCTCCGTCACCACCACCAGGCCACTGGCTAAACAACACTGAGTGAGAAAACATAACCATGTCCGTCTAAGAGAAATAAGGACAAACATCCAACCGAAGCACAGCTGTATCTGAATCCTGAAGGGCTACAACTGAGAGATTCCTTTTGCATGAGAAGTAATGTGCAGTTGTCTGCCCCTGAAAGCACATCATTAAGCGTTCTCTTAAATGAAGTGGAATAAGAGCTTTTAATTAGATGTTTTCTTCTATGTGTGGGGAAGTGATGCAGTCAAGCAGTAAGAGAAAGACATGGAGAGAAGGAAGGAGAGGTGTGCGCTCAACAACTCCTGTACAGTACCTCCTCCTCCCTTCTCTGCTTGCCCCTTCGCTAAGCCTCCTGAACCTGCCATCAGGCAGATATCTCTGTGTCATCCCTGGAATGTTGGAGATAACTATCATCTCTCTTCTGATCCAAGGCCTCTCTCCTCTCACAGGCACAGCATTGACCCCACAGTGAACATCGC